AGAGATATTCAAAAGTTTCTTAAATGAGAGTGGAAACTTCAAGGCTTGTCTCAACATGGATTGCAAAGGAATGCTATATTTGTATGAAGCTTCATTCCTTTCACTAGAAGGTGAAAGTACACTAGATGCAGCTAGAACTTTCACGAGAAAGTATCTTAGTGAATATGTTAAGTTAAACGAAAGCAAAAATCCTTACCTTTCAACACTAGTGGAGCATGCACTGGAGTTTCCACTCCGTTGGGGAATGCCAAGGATGGAAGCAAGATGGTTCATTGGGGTTTATCAACGAAGTCCAGATATGAACCCCCTCTTGCTTGATCTTGCCAAGCTGGATTTCAACATGGTGCAAGCGATGCACCAAGAAGATCTGAAACATGCATCAATGTAAGAAGTTCAATAACTTTAATTACCTTAACAAATACAAATTAAACCTTTAGAAAGAGAAAAAAGAAAAAAAGAATCTCATGATGTGAAAAATAATTTTTCTTTGCACAAATTAGGTGGTGGAAGAGAACAGGTATTGGACAAAATTTGGGGTTCATCAGGGACAGATTGATGGAGAATTTCTTATGGACTACAGGAGTGTTGTTCCAACCTCAGTATGGATATTTTAGAAGAATGGCTGCACAAGTCAATGCACTAGTAACAACAATAGATGATGTTTATGATGTATATGGAACCTTGGATGAACTTGAACTTTTTACTGATGCCATTGAAAGGTTTGTGCTCAGTAGTGGCTTTTATTTGAACTTAATAATTTCTTTCATGCTTTAATTGTTCTATCGGATTTCAGATGGGATATCAATGCAATAGAGCAGCTCCCAGACTATATGAAGTTATGCTTTTTTGCGCTACACAACTCCATGAACCAAATTGCCTCGGACATTTTTCAGGAACAAGGAATAAACATCCTTCCTTACTCAAAGAAAGCGGTATCGTTGCATAATTCTTGACTTGAATGACTTTGTCTTTGTTTTCTCTAACTAATTCTTTCAATCTTAATTTCTCCTAGTGGTTGGAGTTATGTAAAACTTACTTGATAGAGGCCAAATGGTACCACCAAGGATACACACCATCTTTGCAAGAGTACATTGATAATGCAGTCGTTTCAATATCAGGACCTTTAATATTGTTGCATGCTTATATTCTTTCTTCAAATCACATAACAACTGAGGTACTACAATATTTAGAGGAAGAATTGCCTAGCATAATCCGTTGTTCATCAATGGTATTGAGGCTTGCAAATGATTTGGGAACATCACCGGTATTTACCCTTTGTCTCATTTTGCTTCTTGATTTGAATTGTTTTTGCATGACTTACAATCTCTATTTTTTTAGGATGAAATGAGAAGAGGTGATGTTCCAAAATCCATTCAATGTTACATGCATGAAACTGGAGTTCTAGAAGAAAATGCTCGTGAATACATACAAGATTTGATTGACAAAACATGGAAGAAGATGAACAAAGATGAATTTGAGCCTTCTCTTCTCCCTCAAACTTTGATTGAAACTGCAATAAACCTTACAAGAATGGCTCAATTTATGTACAAATATGGAGATGGCCATAGCTCTCAAGATGATGTAATGAGGCATCGCATATTATCATTGCTCATCAAACCTATCCCATTGCCTCGCCCTGAGGAATCACATATTACTGCCTAAGCTTGTGTATTTT